CTACTTTGCCCTACTCGTTGCTTGTGAAATTATTTATAACACGGAACAGCCCTCATTACCCCGGTGTTAAATAACTAATTTTACACATCCTTTTTGTTGTTGGACTGCAGGTGAGCTCATTTCCACAATCTTTTCTTCTGTCCTTTCAGGCGTCGGGAAAATCTTCTTGCAAAGCATCGGGATCTTCGAAATGTCCCAGCAATAATAGTAAGAAGAGTATATAAAGTCTTCCAACTTTTTAAGCAAGCGTTAAATCGTGGATTCCCTATTTGAAATGGATGCGAATCGCAAAATTGTTTGTACGACGAGAATCACGTGTGTGCGTGTATATTGGTACTGATAAAGTGTGTTTTTCTGTCTCTGTAATGGGTTAACTATAAAATTAATGACACTACTTAACTCAATTCTGGAAGTGGAGACAATAGACTTCCTTGTGTTAATTAGAAATTCCTGGAATTATACTTGGCATGACAAATATAACTTTTAAGTCTTTTGTAATTCAAAGCCGCCGGATGCACAGCGTCTGCTTGAACTACGAGAAAGTCTAGTCCGGGAGTCTGAGAGAACTGCTAGACTACTAAACGTTGCGATTCGAGCTAAGTACTGCATTTTGGGTCCAGATTCGCTGAGGACAATTAAGGATCTCTCCAAGGAACACCAGAGGCAGCGCCAATGTATCATCAATCATCGAATGAAAGCATTAGAAGAACAAATAGAACTATTAAAGCAGTGCGGCAATGGAGTAAGTCCACTTTCAATCTGTGCCTAATAGGAGGTTCTGAGGTTGTTAAAGTAAAGTCCTTTTCAAATTGCATCGTCCCGTACCCCTCTTTCATTATCATATGCAATCAATTTATGTTTGTGTAAAAATTTAAAATCTGGTCGTGGTGTTTTTTTGAGAGAAACGTTATACTGAATGGCGTTGTTAAGTTTCAGCAGGTGTATCTGTTTGTTTCATTTTTTGGATACCTTTTGAAAGATAGAAAATCCTAGAGAGATATAATGGCCTGTAGTACCCCATAAACCAGGGTTACGCACTTCCAGCACCGCTGCATGCCAAACGGAGATGAGCGTTTTCATTTATTCCGTGAAACTTATAAGTATTTCGCAGTTTTCCCGGTTGAAGCTCATATTAATTCTTACGAAGGATTAAAGACTATGGGCATAACCGTAAGGCCACGCTGCAGAGCGGAGGTGTGCTGCGATAGAACCGCCGATTCCAAGCAAAGTATAGCGTTGTCAAAACTTATGTGCCTGGGGAACAAAAAATGACATTAGTCCAATTTGATGCGTGAATTCTGCGCACACCTTAGACACGTGGGACAATGCGGAGCCTTATTTGTGCAAAAGTGCTCTTAGTTTAATCACTTATGCAAAACTGGAGTGTGAGAATCCAACACCACACCCTTAGCCTTAAGGCTTCCATAATCTCATCGCCTTCCTTCCCATAAGGCTAAACCTGGTGATTCAACCGTTCGATAAGATTCTTCTTATTAAGATAACCTAGTTTGGGGACTCGGAGTCAAGTCCACCCTCTGTTAAATGCAGAGCAGTATGTCGGACGAGAAAAGCTACTTGATGCCTTTTTAGTTTTCTCAATGAGGCGCCCATTCGTAAGGAGTCTCTAAGTTGCTAACTAATTCCAAAATGAGAGCTGTACCTCTACCCCCATTAGCCCTATATGAGTGGAAAGTTCTTGAAAAAATAGGCTTAGCAGCAGCTCTCGCTCTCAGTGTGCGCGCGGCCCACACTCAATGCCAAATCGCACTTAAAGAAATGTTTGCTGGTGAGATGTTAAAGGCGTTTGAAGGCGTCGCCTACGCAGTCTGTCTCGTCACCTCCTACAACCACTCCAATCATTGGTCAGCAGTGAGTTGGCGCGGCCCCAAATAGACCAATAAGGTTGGGAGAAGCGCTTAAAAAAGTAGGGAATCGTATCGCTTGTGCTGTTTTATTAGTTTTTTTGCACTAGGGTCAAAAGTATGCGCCACTAGTTGCTCATGCACAGAGCAATTGTGAAATTCGTACTGAC